TTTAATAATTATTTATTGTATTTTATTTATTCATTCACTTATTTTTTAATTTGACCAGAAAGAGACAGAGGGTGAGAGTGAGAGAGGAAGTGAGAATCTCACTCTGTCCTTCTCTGGTCAAATTAAACATAAATAAATAAATAAAGTTAAATAAAATAATTCATATATATACACATACACACACACACACACATACACACACATAGAGAGAGAGTGTCAAAATAAAATAATTCTTTAAAACTAAAAAAGAAATTATTTCAGGGACCAGCAGATAGTGTAATGGTTACGTCACTGGACTCCCACGCAGTCAACCACGGTTCAAGTCCCGGGCCCAGTGGCTTAAAACTCATGCTGGGTGGGGAACCAGCAGTTAGCGTAATGACTATGTCCCTGGACTCCCATGTAGTCGACCGCGGTTCGCATCCCGGACCCGGTGGCTTAAAACTCACGCCAGGTGTGTGTGTGTGCGTGCCCAAGATCCCGAGAGGAGAATGGAGGAGAAGGGATTGTGGCGTGGCCATCCCCCTGGGGGGTGATTTCTCACTTTCTGTCTCTATGTCTCTGTCTATCTGGTGCACGCGTCCTATAGCAAAAACCTCTAAAACAAAAACAAAAACAAAAACAAAAAAACCTCATGTTGGGTGCATGTGCGTGCGTACCCCAAATCCCAAGAGGAGAATGTAGGAGAAGGGATTGCAGTGTTGCTATTCCTCCAGGGGGTGATTTCTCGCTTTCTGTCTGTCTCTCTGGTGAGTGTATGGGCCCTATAGCAAACCTCTCTTAAAAAAATAATTTCAGATTATATGTAAAAAATTGTGGTAAATAAGTTAAAGTTATTATAGTTATAGGTCACTCTGAACGGGGTAGAAGGTGGAGAGGAGAGACTGCCTTCCAGGGATGAGTACATCAGAACTGAGAGAAGGAGGCAGTGCTTTTTCCAAATGATACTTTTTGAAACTTTGGTTTTCTATCATTATGCCAACTATTTCCTAAGGATTTTAATTCATTGTGTTACTGTGACAAGAAAGGCCATATAAGTTGGGTGTCCTAAATATTAACACTGAACCAGACACAGTCTTTTAAATATTTATTTATTTATCTGTTTGTTGTGATTTATCAAGTCACTGAGTCCGAAATTCGAACTGCAGTCAGCCATGTGGGAACACAGCACCTTAACCACCATCCCACCTGCTGGCCCCCCGTATTAGAAAATTGTCTGCTCCTGTCTTTTGAAAATCTTCACAGAAATTTGAAACCCATCCCCCACAATTAAGAATCAATGATTATCACTCCCTTATCTTATATACCAGGAAACTAACATCCAAGGAAGTTAAAATTACTTGCTTAGGAGCCAGCAAGTGGCATGGTAGTTGGGGGCACTGGACTCCCATATGGCCAATGGAAGTTCGAGTCCTGGGCCTGGCAGCTTGCTCCCTTTCCCTCTCTCTCTCTCACTCTGTCCCTCTCTGGTCAAAAAGGAAGGAAGGAAGGAAGGAAGGAAGGAAGGAAGGAAGGAAGGAAGGAAGGAAGGAAGGAAGGAAATTAAATAATTCTTTTTTTAAAAAAAGAGAATCAAGATCAGAAAAACATTATTTCTATTTGTGCCACATTTCCTTCACCTATCTTTCCTGATGTCGGAATGCGTACATATATCAGAATACTTACATGATTATAATTTCACTTGATAATACAAATTGGTTTCTCTCTGTGAAGTTATGTTCTTTGGATTTGATCTGGAGAACACTGATTCAGTGTACATTTATCCAATGTCTCTTATATTTTATGGTTAGTCAGTCCCCTCATGGCTCACCAGAATATTGAGGCTCCTGAATTTAATTACTGCAAATTTCAGAAGTGATTCTTAGGAATCCAAAATGATTCTAACCTGAGTCCACCATGGAAACTTGAGCATGGAAAACACCCAGACGTAGAAAGAGACAAATGACTATAAGGACTCTCTTTTATTTTTTTTCCCTGAAATATAATGTTATAAAGGCCTAGAAAATGATTTAGTATTTATCTGTCCTCTTTTGGACTATGGTTTTTTTTGTTTGTTTGTTTGTTTGTTTGTTTGTTTTTTTCAGACAAGTGGATTTAAAATATTCGAGAACTTCCAGTAAATTTCAGAGTCCTAGCCAGTTGTTTCTAGTCCTGTGATGTGATCTAGGATGCTGTTTAAAAAAATTGCAAGCAAGAAGAAATTTCTTCATCTTTTTGGAAAATGAGGTCAACCACAATTCAATTCTTAGACCTGGAAGCTACCAGAAAAGTGTGCCCGCATGCCCAAAATCCAGAAAGAAGGGAGGAGATGGGATTGCAGAGTGACCCTTACCCCTGCCCTAGTGGGAGTGATTGCTCACTTTCCTTCTCTCTGCATCTCTTTCTCTCCTTTCAGAGGAGCTCACACACCCTATGACAAAAACCCACTAAAAAAAAAAAGATAAGATGTTCTCAATATTAGGATCATTGTCATACGAAAAGCATTAGCTATACCATGAATGTGAATTGAGTAAACAAGTTACTCCAGTTACTCCTTAAATAAGGTGCAAACTAGCAAAATAAATGAATGAACAAATAAAAAAATAAATAAATAATTCTCTTTAAAAAAAAAAAAAGAACGAAGGAAGGAAGGAAGGAAGAAAGAAGGAAAGGAAGGAAGGAAGGAAGAAAGGAAAGAAGAAAGGAAGGAAGTTACACATAAAATAATTATTTTAAAATTACTTGCATAAATACAATGAGATGGCCCATCCTAGGTGGCAGTCACACCTTACTAGAGTACTAGACTGCAGTGTTGAAAGTCACATGGCCAACTACAGGTTCAGATGCCTGGGTCAGCCACAGAGCTGGGAGACTGGGGTAAGGGAATCATGGCATGATGAAACCCTGTCATGGGTACTTTCTTTCTCTCCTTTCTCTTGTGACATGCATACACTTTCTATCAACATACATAAATAAATACAGAGCTAGTTACTTAGTGGATCTGGACATTAGGTACCCTAAGTACTAATGCTCACTCTTTTTAAAAATTATTGTTATTTTTGGGAACCAGCAGTTAGCGTAATGGCTATGTCACTGGACTCCCACGTAGTCGAACGCGGTTCGCGTCGCGGACCTGTTGGCTTAAAACTCACGCCGGGCACATGTGCATATGTGCCCAAGATCCCGAGAGGAGAATGGAGGAGAAGGGATTGTGGTGTGACCATCCCCCTGGGGGGTGATTTCTCGCTTTCTGTCTCTATGTCTCTCTCTGTCTGGCGAGTGCACGTGCCCTATAGCGAAAATCTCTCCAAAAAAAAATTATTGTTATTTTAATTTTTTATTAAAGAATTATTTTAACTTTATTTACTTATATATTTATTTTAATTTGACCAGATCAAGACAGAGAGAGAAAGTGAGAAAGCAAGCCTCCAGGTCCAGGACCCAAAACACAGTCTGCCACGTGGGAGTCCAGCACTGTTAACCACCACGCCATCTGCTGGCCCCTATCCTTTTTTTTTTTTTTTTTTTTTGTCAGGGGACACATGTGCTTGCCAGAGAGAGAGAAAAATGGTCACACTGCAATCTTTTTCCCTCTGTTTCTTCATCTCATCAAGACTTGGGGTGCCCATGACCTGGTGTGTTTTTCAAGTCATCAGGGCCAGGATTTGAACCACTGTCCACCAGCCACATAGGATCTGACTCCCTATGGACGATGGCTTAACTGCTGTTCTATGGGGTCAGCCCATCTAATCTAACGCTCTGAACTACTGTTTTAGAAATCATGACTTTTGGGGCTGGCAGGTGGACCAGGCAGCTTGCTTTCTCACTTTCTTTCTTTCTATTTTTTTTTTTTTTGCTTTCTCCCTTTCTCTCTCTTTCTCTCTGTTCCT